CCAGGAACAGCATGAGTCCCATAGACCTGCAAGCTATGGCTGACATCAAGCCACCTCAAACATCTCATGTCCAAGGACCAGCAGGTGAAGAGTCATCCTTTTGATGGGGGTAATTGACCCTGGAATAGCAAGGGGAGGTAAGGTTGCTGATCCCCAGTAGAGGCATGGAGAATTATATGGGGAAACTAGGGAATTGACTTAGGAGCCACTTGGAACTACCCTAATGCAATGGTAACTGTGAGTGGGCATGTACAGCAATGTTGACCTAAGGTCTCAGACCCTGTGAAATGAAGGTGCAAAAGATTTAACACAAACATTATATATAGCAAGTGCTCTGGGTCCCTGTTGCCTTCTACATTTATCCCTTTATCTTTTTCTTTTCTTTTCTTTCTTTCTTTTTTTTTTTTTTTTTACTATATACCTCCCACATCCCATGACTATTCAAAAATAATCACAAGGTTTGTAAAAACAATTCTCAGAAGTACCATTCTGTTGGTTACTGGACTCTAATCAAGGGGCAGGAAAATAGGAACAACCCCCATCCACAAGTTTTAGTCAAGGTAAAAACCGCTGCTAAAGTTGAAATGACAAGGACACTCATTCAAATCCTTCCTAGCTTGAAAAACCCTGATCCTGGTTCATTGGTGATGCCACCTAGCCTTCAGGTACTCCCCGATATGCCTCAACTGAATAAAACCTTTAAAGTCTTCTCGAGTCACTTAAATATCTGTGCGTGTGTGTGTGTGTGTGTGTGTGTGTGTGTGTGTGTGTGTTTATGTGTGTACCCCCGCCAAAAGGATGACTCCTCACCTGCTGGTCCTTGGACACAAGATGTCTGAGGTGGCCTGATGTCAGCCATAGTTTGCAGCTCTGTGGGACTCATGCTGTTCCTGGTGGTCAATGACAAAGTCTGTCTAATGTTGACTGGCCAAATAATTTTGCCCACGTGGCTTTTCAGGGCCTCTTCCAGGGCGGATGGTTCTTGGTAGACATGAAAAATCTTCATGCTACAAAAATCTTCATGCTTCCTCACTACCCCTATATCCGAAGCTACATATCTCTACCTTAGACCTTCTTTTCGACTCTCCAGTCCTTTTTATCCCAGGCCCCAGACCAGTCATACACATATACATTTAATAGTTTTGTGTTGTTACTTGGGATAGTTTTGGACAAACCCCCCAACACTGCCCAGTTGTGGGTCAAAGACAGCATGTATCAAAAAATCCTAATTTCCTCGAGTGGAGAGGTGAGCCCTGCTCCTGTTCTATGATTTTTTTCTTCATAGCATGGAGCTTGCAGGCTTTGATTCTTTGTAGGCCAAACTTTTGTGAGACTGAAGTCAGTATTTTCTTTTTGTCTTTTGGAATTCTTTGGATGAGCAGAGAATTTAGGTGATTTTCCTAAGATAGGGCAAGGCTCTCAGATTTCTCTTACTATGGAAATTCCTGTTCAACCTAAACCCCTGGCCAGATCTGTGCTGCATATATGGTCTGGCACAAAGTTTGTAAATCCATTAAAGTCATAAGTGGCATGATTTCAGAAAGTATAATTTTGAACAGCAGTGGCATTTTGGTAACTTGGGACATGTCAAACTTCTGCATTTTTGTGGCTGTAGCTCCATAGAAATATCGCTTTATTGAGATGCCCTCTATAATATAGAGAGACAAATAATGTCAGGAGTTTTGCAGGGCTTTGCACTGAAGGAATATGTGAATGTGTTAGTTTGCATATCAAAAGCTGCCTCACCTCAGGAGGGCATCCCAAAGGTCAGTGACAGCTGCTTTCCAAGGTGATGCTGCAGTCTCAAACCTGTGGTTTTCATCTGCTTTGAACAACAAAGCAGGTTTGCATGGAGCCACAGGACGAGAGCTGATCAAAGAGTGCCTGCTCAAGAGACAGACACCTGTGGCTAAAAGCAATTAGCCCAAGGGACAGTTCCTGCTTGACTCTTGACTACCTGTCTCCATCCACAATAACTAGGTAAAGAAATATGGAGCCACTATATCTCTGTTCAACCCTTCTGTTAAGTGATAGCTTTATCTTAGAACTTGGAAGTTTGTCTTTGAAAGATTTTGTAACCATTTGTTCACATAGATAGAGTTAATTAAGGGATCTATAGAAGGCTTTTTCAAGACTTTTAACCTGAAAGCATATACCTGTTATTATATAAACCTGTTACCCCTGGCAACTGATCACTGTACCTATAAACACCGGTGTGAAACTTCACTTGTGGCCTCACAGTTCACGGAAATACTGCGGGGTCTCCCGAGCCCTGCTTTATAAATCTATATCTGTAAAACTCTATCTTCATCTCTGCATATTCTTTTATTTCTATATTCTATTATTTTCTATTTTCTATTATTTCCTTATCCTTTGGGATAAGGGACCCAATTTTTTGCTGGGAGTGTAGCTAACTCACCGCATGTGGCATCTTAGAAATGAAGGATAATGAAATACCTGACACACCAGGGATAGCTTACTTCTGTTGGTATGAAGAAATCGAGAAAAGAAACCTTTGAACAGACTCTAGACTTTCTGAGGCCTCTTTTCAACAGCGTCAGTGTTCTTCCCTTCCCAAAGACCTTCTCCTTCCAGTCTCTCATAACCCCACCCTTTTCTCATCTTTCTTCTATCTGGATCCCTATCTTCTTTTCAGCCCCCTTGCTCCTCCTCCACTCTCCAGCTAGCACTAACCATTTGACCTGGAATACCACCTCCCTTTGACACACAAAAGTTCTAAAAACAGGAGGAAAATGTTTTAAAGGTGACTCTGAAGTTTTCTGCCCTTGTGTCGACTGAGTTAATGCCATCAAGGTGACAAGGGTGTGATGAATCTGTCTCAAATCTCTGGCACCAACTAGGAGCCACTTTTAATGAACACTCATATTAGGCCTTAACATTGACATGAACACCTTTTTTGTTTATGGCCTATAACCTGAATTATCAAATGCTCCTCAGAAATATCAAATAGTCTGTCACACTAGACCTCTTCTCTAGTTAAAACACACAGTTCACTATTTTCAAGATAGCAGCATAAACATAGTGAAAACCACACACATTGAAACTTATGGAACCACAGATGAAACAGCTTGAGGAAAACAAAAGTGCTTCACAAATACAAAACAGACCAGAAAGGATATGAGCAGATATTGGAAAGGAGGAAAAAAGAGAGAGAGAGAGAGAAAAAGGCCACAAGGCCCACAGTTATAATGCTTTGACAAACGGTCTGCTCAAACAGTAACAAAATGACTCTCCTTGTTGGATGACACACTGTACTTTCAATAATTGCCTTTGGGTCACAGATATATAATCTGGTTTAGTAAATGGTCATCCAACCTTGTTGTTAGTAGACAGTGGTGCCAGGTGCAAATGCAGCTACTGATGCTTGACAAGCACATGGTAACAGGGGACCAAACCCATCACTGGATCCAGGTTACTTTTCCAGTTAAGCCAGCTGGACAAAACATGGCGGCCAACAGAGCCATATAAAAGATGGACAAACTACAAAGTTGTAGGTGGCAACCATATTGATTCTCTAGTTCTACATCCTTCCTCTCTCCTTTGGTGACTACCTACATTCAGATTTGACATTTTCAGGGAGAGATTTGCTATTTGCATAAAGAGATTTGATCTCAGACCTGAGTTGTTTAAACAGAAGGAATGTAATCATTACTGTGTATCAGATCCTGTTCTAGTGCACTGTTTCTGAAGTGATTCTTTCTGATTCCCTTTAGTTAAAATTTTATGTCTGTATAAATATCAAGCTTTCAGCTTCATCCTCTAATTTAAAGACAGGCTGTACTTAGGCAATTCCTGAGATTTTAAATATGAGATCCTATATCTTCGACAACCAGAGGCATTAAGAAGTGATATATCAGTGAAGAATGATTCCTTATGTCATGATTTAACAATAAAGATAAAATGCCAAAGACATTACATGTGGAATACCCCAGGTATAGGACAACACAAGAATAATAATGAGAATAATGAGAATGATAGCAGATAGCACATATTAAGTGCCTAAATTGTCCTAGGTCTTTCTTAGGTGCTTTCCTTTTTTTTTTTTGAGACAGAGTCTCACTGTGTTGCCCGGGCTAGAGTGCCGTGGCATCATCCTAGCTCACAGCAACCTCAAACTCCTGGGCTCAAGAAATCCTCCTGCCTCAGCCTCCCAAGTAGCTGGGACTACAGGCATGCGCCACCATGACCGGCTAATTTTTTCTATATATTTTTAGTTGTCTGATTAATTTCTTTCTATTTTTAGTAGAGACAGGGTCTCGCTCTTGCTCAGGCTGGTTTCGAACTCCTGAGTTCAAATAATCCGCCCGCCTCGGCCTCCCAGAGTGCTAGGATTACAGGCGTGAGCCACCGCGCCCGGCCAGGTGCTTTCTTTTAATTGTCACAAAAATGTTGGAAAAGTATATTTCATCTCTGACAGTAGAATGTGTGCCTTGAAACTCTGAAATAGTAAGACTGTTCCTATGATCACATAGTCAGCAGGTGGCCTAATCATTGTTGAAATTCAAGGCACCTATGACACAAAAGATTTTTAATCTTCCTATTGCATCTCTGCCAAAATTACTTTTTATGCTTATTTGTTTAACACTAACAATGATATGGACAAATAACAGAAATCTGGTACATAACCAATCAGAAAAAGACCTTAAGAGTATTAAAACAAGTGCATACAAAGTGCACGCAAGCCTTGCTACAGGGGTATCTAGAAAATATTAGACCCCAAATTGTAAATAAGGACAGGTCCTCTTGTTAGTGTCTAAGGGCTTATGCCATCATCTATAGGAGTATTAAGAATATGAGCAGACATGAAATGTTAAGTGAATTTAGACACATAGATCCTTTTTGAATTGTGAAGTGATTTTATTTCCAGATGACAACCTCAGAATTGCCAAAAGATTATGTTGTTGTCAGAGTGATTATCGATCATTTCTCACAGTAAGTGCCAATGTGATTTTCTCCTCTGCATGGGCTTTCATTAATATTTACGCTTGCTTAGTATCTTCAGGTTCTTTAGTAACTTCCACTGTTCTCTCTTCTAGAGATCGTTTTTCTTGTGTAAGGCCACCAAAGATAAGCACAAGCAGAAAAAGACCGAAACGAATTAATATAAAAAGTAGCGCCAGGTTTATATTCACTACTATTCTGGCTTGAAGGCCACTTTCCATATCAGGTGGAGGGCCACTATCTATACTACCACCTGCTCCTTTCACTTCACAAACTGGTGGTCTCCAACCACGAACACAGTGACAATTTTTGTTGTTGTTGCACACTCCTTTGAAATTGCATTTCCTCACATCACAGTCAAAATTCATGTCCTGATAAAAAGTACAATTCTGTTGTAAACAGTATTTTCCTGGGCCACATGTTGCACCATCCACTACAAGCCCGAATTCTGGCAATTCTGTTCCGTGGTGTGCATCATATCCAAAGCATTCTTCTTCTGAAACTTCTTGTATTAATATTTTACGAAATGTAGTGTGCTCACCTCCACCCGGAATACTTTTGACACCCTTACAGTGCAGCATTCCGCAAAAAATGTCATCTTCTTCACACGGAACAGGTTGACTTCCCCCTCGTATTATCTTAACCCCACAGTTTCCAAATCGGTCACCCATTCTATTCAATTGTTGATAGCATATTGGTTTACCATCTTCTACTTGGTAACCAAAAAGGGCTTGACACTGCAAATCACGGTCACTGCAGTTTCCTCTCACACAAACAGCTACTGCTGAACATGGAGTTCCATCCTGAATGTAGACATCATCTGGGCACGTCTCATTTTTCCCACCACAGTATTCCGGTAGATCACAAATACCAAGTATGTCCCTGCAAACCACTCCAGGATGAGCATATTTACAGTTGTGGCAGCAACCTCCTGTATTACAGTCACTGCCAAGTCTGAGGGCACAATTGGTCTCACAACACTTATCATCAATACAGTCTTTAATAGAGCCACAATCACATTCTTCCTGCTGATTTTTGATCTTGTCTCCACAACGAGGAGCTACGTAAGGAAAATTTTTATATGGATTGTTTGTCGGACTCAAACAAGGATCCCATTCATGAAGTCTGTTATGCATTTCATCAAAAGAACAATTACTCATTATATCTCGAAGACCAGGTGGAGTTTTCATGAGACAGTTGCTTCTTCGAAAACAAACACAATAATTTTTATCATGTGATACGCCCATGTTATGACATATTGTATGTGCTGTAATAGTTGCAGCAAAAAATAGGTGAACCCTTGCTGCAAACACATATACTACTCCCCAGTTGGGATTGCATACTCCATTAAAGTTGGTATAATAGTGGGATCCTGAAATTTCATGTCCTGTTAAAAGAACTGAAGTATCATGTGGAAAGTTATTATACCATCCCCAATATTTCCACAAACCAAATTCAGATACAGCACTTGAGACACTATTCCAGCCATAAAGATTCATTGCATCCATTCCATCCCATATGCACAACATACGTATGAAGACATTTAAATAAACCTGTTTGAAAATGGTATGCAGTATGCTGTTTATAACCACTGCACTCTCTATTATGCGTGACATGTTGCTTTGCAGCTGCACAACTAGTGAGTTAGAAATCGTGTAGTGAAGTTTCAGGTTTTTCTTATGAAGCCTCCACAAATAAACGGGGCCTGCTCTAGGAATTTCAGCAAGTTTTACCTTTTCAAGTGTTTGATCTGTCTGTTCCTCGTCAATGTTACACATGTCAGCCTCTCCTGGTCTTTCTTCTGACACAAGCAAAGATAGCAGATGTTCAAATTTGGAAGAAGCCTCGAGGGGTTTGATTTCATAAGTCGAGTCATCCACCTGTATCATGCCACGCAGACCTCCATAGCAAGTGTCCAGTGTGGCCACGGACCCAGGAACTCCTTCCAGGTAGCTGTAGTAGTAACAGTCTCGGGGGACAAAGGGATAGTCCTCCTGCATGGCCCCTTGGTCGTTATCAGTAATAACAGGAAAATGTCTGGGCAGCAAGGCCTTCTTGAGCTTCATGTGGATCACATGCCTTCGGCCCTGGAAGCGTATGCTGTAGGAGAGCTGGTCTGGCATCTCAACTCCACTCCTCCTCTGGGGCACTTTCCTGGGGATCACAATTTCAGAGGAAGTGAAGCGCCATACTGGTGGATCATAGGAGCGGCAGACAGGTGTTAGAAATGCCGAGAGTGCCAGTAACCAGAGAGTACCTGTCAGGGAGACCTGGACCCAGGCAGGCCCCATGAGAAAGTGCGCCTTTGCCCAGAAAAAATGCAGTCAAGTGGGAGGTACGCAAGACTATCCCTAAAACATCAACTTTCTCATCAGAGCACCCGTGAGGAAAGCAGAGTAAGGCTACTGGCTTGGCACTTCCTGATATGTGAAGGGCCATGGTTAGGTTATTACATAACAATGGTGTGCTCATCATGGGAGGCTGTGCTCAGTGAGCTGGAGACCCTAGGGCAGTACACCTAGGGAAGAGAAAAAAAAGGGGGGAATTCAGAAGAACAGTGTATACCTAAGCTGAAAACTCCCTTGTCTTCTAAGGAAAATCGTAAGTGGGAAAAGAATACAGGGGTTTTGGTGCAATTTTAGGACCATTAATGACTTATTTCTCATCCCTAAATGAGAAAAGGATTCAACATGTAATTAAAAGAGGGAATTATACACAATGGTAAATAGAGTGGAAGCTCCTCCTTAAAGGAATTCTGAGGGTAGAATTGCACTTTATAGAAATTGAATGGAGTTGGGTGTGATTGATGGAATGTTAAGAGTAAACAAATGTCATGAGTAGAAAAACTAGAGTGTGCAATGATAGTATCTTATTGATGAGTGAACTCTGACCTTTTTTTTCTCTTGCTTAAATTCCTGTCTAAGAGACCTGGTGAGTCATGCCTATAGACTGTACAATTTCATTAAATGAGGTTTTATTAGCTAGTATAATGTGGCTTACTTTCTAACCTGATTCTGGTATAGTATCACATGACAGATAAAAGAACCCCTTATTTTAACTCAAGCATTCTAGAAGACCCCTATCTTAACTCAAGGATTCCTTTTTCCTGTATTCAAGTCTTTAAACAAAGCTTCACTCTTTTAACCAATTGCCAAATAAAGAATACCTAAAACCCACCCATGGTTTGTAAGCTCGTGCTTCAAGATGTCCCCCTTCTCAGGCCAAACCAATGTACACTTTCCATGTATTGATTTATGGTTTTATCTGTAATTTCTGTCTTCATGAATGTGTAAAACCAAACTGTAACCTGGCTGCTTTGGGTGCAGTTTTTCAAGATCTCTTGAGATCATGTTTTCCAGGCTGCAGTTGCTCATATTCAGCTCAAAATAAACCTCTTTAAATTATTTCACAGAGTCTGGGGTTTTTCTCCTGTTAACATTAAAAAGTTTAACTTATACCTACCCTATAATACAGCAACTCCACTCCTGGGAACTTACCCACATAGTCCTGTCTATGAATGTTCATAGCAGCATTATTCATTAGTTTATTCCACAATCCGGAAGCCAAGAACTAGTTATCACTAGGTGAATGAATAAACAAACTGGTATATTCATTCGATGGAATAGTTTTCTGTAATAACACAAACAGAATTCTAATACATGCAAGAACATGGATGAATTTCACAGAACCTGAGACAAACCAGATCAAATGGAGTAGTTTATGTATGATTTAATTTTTATGATGTTCTAGAATATTCCAAATTAATCTGTGGGAAGAGAAAAGTAATCAGTAGTTTTCTGAAGTGTGAGTAGGGGAATGGGGCATAGAGGGAAGATTCTGGAGTGATATAAAGTATCAATCAAATATCTTGACTGCAGTGGTGGTTTCAAATCAAAACTCATCAAACTGCACCCTTAAAATCTGTGTATTTTATAATATAGTAAGTATATCTCTGAAGGACCTCAGGAAATTTCACTTCAAAATATGACTCCTTGGTATAAAGAGTATTTTGAATTACAGGCCCTTGGAGATCAAAAAGCATTAGAAAGGACTTTCCCTCTGTATGCATAAACTGAACTGACCTGATCAAAAGATCAAAGAGGCAATTGACTTCCCTTCTTTTCCCTGTTATCTCAGTATATTGCAGGAAAAAATGATCAAGAATGCAACCAGACCTAGCCCAAATCATTTAAATATAATATCTGTCCCTCAGGTTAATTTAATTTGCAAAGAGAATCATTTACAAGTCGCTCTGTCTCCCCTATTCATTTGTCCTCTCTAGCACCATTTGTCACACCTAGACAGAATTGCCTGTCCTACTCATTTCCCTCCCCTCCAAAAATGCGAGTATAAAAATATCTGGGTCCCATTTGGATATTGGGTAATCACCCTGTGATTCTCCCTATGTGCATGGTAAATAAACCTTTCTCTTATTAATCTGCCTTAATTATGAATTGATCTTTCAGCGAACTTTCAGGGGAAAGGGCAAGTTTCCCTTCACCCCTATACCTCAAAAGAGTTAATTTTCTATAAAAGTCTAACTTCAGCTTCTTTTTGACTCAGTCTAAAATTAGCACATCACTAATTTATCTCAGAAACCATCTTCCTTACCTTTTCAAAAATAATTTTAACGTAAGTTTGCATGTAAATGGCCTCAACTTGGTATAAGGAAGTTACCAAGAGCAATTTACCTCATTTGTTTTTTCCCTTATGAACCTTCTGTTTGTGAAGAGTCAGTCATGCACACAGTAACACTTAGAAAAGAAGTAAGAACATATTAATGTTTAAATCTGTTGTATGTAACACTGAAAGATTTTTAAAAATCAGTACAGGCAGAAATATATAAAAAGTTGTAAGTATGAGTTGATCTCAGCTTGAAATAAATTTGTCATGATGAAAAAATGTAATTTTTAAGAAGAAAATAATTTAGAAAAGATTAGAAAAAGAAATAAAAGTAATTGTAATGGTAAGAACTATAAAATGTACTAATTTATACATTAGATATGTATTAAGAATTATTAGAAATAGGAACATATAAAAAGGGTTGGGCCATTTGGGGAAGGAGTAATAGCTCATTATCCATATATTATTTGATATACTGGAAAATGTTGACTGAAATCTGTAAGAATGGGAATGACATGAGGAAAGTAATGTTAGAAAGATAAGTAGGCTGCTATTAGCATTCAGGTACTAAAGAAATACATCCATGAAAGCCCCCCAGGCAAAATGTTGTATAGATTAATCCAGCATTAAAGTGGTGTGAAGGAGACTGTTTGTGGGCACAGAGGAAACCCATAAATTAGTTATGTTTGAGTAATTTTGTGTGTGTGTGCGTCTGTGTGTTTGTGTATCTTTACTCTTTCAAAAATCTTCTTGAACTTAATTATTTTTGTCTGTGTTTCTCATTTGGGTTTTAATGAATTAGTATATTATTATTTTTTAAACTCATGAAGATTTTTTGAAGTTTTCAATGAGAATGACATCATCAAAACATCAAACTAGGAAGCTGCAAGTTTACTTTCCCCCACAGAAACACTGGGGGGGAAAAAACCTGGAAACTATCTGAACCAACTCTGTTGGAGCTCTTAGAAAAAAATATTAATAAAAGGTCTACAGCCATCAAATAAACACACATAAAAAAACCCATCTTTAAAATGCTCAAAGAATTCAAGAAATGCTTTGTAAAAACATTAAGCAACATAAGCTAAAGGAACAGTGACTTCACTGAGCACTCACAATGAGAAGTCTTGGCTAAATTTGTTTGGAAAGTCTCTAAACAAATGACACATATCCTTCAACAATTAATTTTTTGAAAGAATCACTGGAAATAATGAGAATTTATTTTTAGTTTCCACATTATAAAAAGAAAATACTCAGCCGGGCGTGGTGGCTCACACCTGTAATCCTAGCACTCTGGAAAGCCGAGGCGGGTGGGTCGTTTGAGCTCAGGAGTTCGAGACCAGCCTAAGCAAGAGCAAGACCTCATTTCTACTGAAAAATAGAAAGAAATTAGCTGGACAACTAAAACTATGTAGAAAAAATTAGCTGGGCATGGTGGCGCAGACCTGGATTAGTCATTTCTCCAAATAATCTCAATTATTTTGGATGGGGAATGATATTTGGAAACCAAGATCTCATTACTACTGGGGATCATTGCTTCTAGGCCCCTTTGGAGATTAGAACAAGGACACACAGCAGGATTTTTTTTTTTGAGACAGAGTCTGTCTCTGTTGCCCTGGCTAGAGTGCCGTGGCGTCAGCCTAGCTCACAGCAACCTCCAACTCCTGGGGTCAAGGGATCCTCCTGCCTCAGCCTCCCAAGTAGCTGGGACTACAGGCATGCGCCACCATGCCCAGCTAATTTTTTCTACATAGTTTTAGTTGTCCAGCTAATTTTTATTTCTTTTCTTATGCTAATGTTGGTTTCTTTATTGTTGCTTTTCTTTTTCCGTTAGATGCAACATTATATTGTTAATTTGTAACCTTTGGAGTTTTTTGATGTGGCATTTAATGCTAAACTTCCCTCTTAGCACTGCTCTTACTGTATTTCATAGATATTATTATATTGCTTCACAAACATATGTTTCAAAATTTTGCTTCAATTTCTCCCTTAATTTTTTCATTGACCTGGTGATCATTCAGGAGCATGTTGTTTAATTTCCATGTATTTGCATAGTTTCCATAGTTCCTCTTCAAATTTATTTCTACCTTTATTCCACTGTGGTCTGAGAAGATACTTGATATGATTTTGATTTTTTAAAATTGGGTAAGACTTGTTTTGTGGGCTAACATGTGTTCTATCTCAGAAAATGTTCAGCGTGCTGATGAAAAGAATATATATTCTGTAGTTGTTGGGTGGAGTGTTCTGCAAATGTTAAGTCCATTTGATGTAAAGTCCAATTTAAAGACCAATATTTCTTTGTTGATTTTTGTCTCAATGATCTGTCTAGTGCTGTAAGTGTATTAAAGTCTCTCACTATTATTGTATTGCTGTCTCCCTCTTTTTTTAGGTCTAGTAATATTCGTTTTATGAACTTGGGTGTTCTGATGTTGGGTGTATATATATTTGGCGTTGCCGACTTGAATTATTTATCACTACATAATGATCCTCTTTGTCTTTTTTAGTATTTTTGATTTAATGTTTTATTTGTTACAAATATAGCTAATCTTGCTCCCTTTTGTTTTCTGTTTGTGTGGAATTGTTTTTTCCACTTCTGTACTTTCAGGCTATTTGTGTCTTGGGTAAGGTGAGTTTCTTGTAAGCAGCATATAGTTGGATCATTTTCAAAACT